GAGAAGTGCTGCATACGTCGAGGAAAAAAGCTTGCTTCAGATATTTATAATGTTAAAAAGCAAATACAGAAGATGAAGCACAATGTGGTGGACTGTTACTAACATCTAATCCCTTCAGTCTGAAGAAGCTTCCTCTGTGTGCTGCTTCATCAAACTGCTGGCTACACTATTCTAAAATGTTTTCTATTAACGAAGCCGTTATCAGTCACACTAATACACTAAAACGTTGATTAAGGACTTTATTAGGATCAACAGAGCCTTAATCTGCTGTATACCTCCAAGGAATTAAAAATAAAACAAACCACAGCCTGCTCAAAGCGAGACATCAGCCGCTCACGATGTGTATGAATGAGTCTCTCTAACAAGCGTGTGAATGGATTTCCAAGCAGGAGGAGAAAACAAAGGTTGACAGAGTCAGAGAGAAAAAACTACGGTCGGTGGAAACAGTGAAGAGATTTGCCAGCGTGGCGAGGAGAGGTGAGGAGGTTTGTTAATCGAGGGAAACACTGACAGGGAGGTGTGGAGGAAGAGACAGAGTGCGCGATTAAGGAAGAGCTGAAGGAGCATGAAAAGGGGGAAACAACAGGATGATTCAGCGTGAAGGGAAAACAACCTGTGGCCTCCAGCGCTGGGTTCTGGAGGGACTCTGGAGACACGAGGCTCGCTCAGACAGTCCTCTTTGTGTGCCGAGGTCTTCAAAGAAGCCAGGACAGGAAAATATCCTCATTTGAAGGATTTCCATGATCTCCCTTCCCTCTGAGGACGTTTGTTCTTCACAAGTGTACAAACACAAGAACACACACTCTCACACACACTCCCATCCTCTCTAATTACTCCAGTCATTACCAGCAGCCAATGAAGACACCAGAATACTAACAGTTTACTAATGACATGATAACTGTAATTAGAACATCCTGCTGGACCCACTAATTGTCCTTTCCCTTTTACAGATGAGAGAGAGACAGAGGCAGCGTGTGCCAAAGGTTAATTGGCTTAATGTTTATTCGCTCGTTGCAGACGAGTTGATGATGTCAGTGGAGCAGCTCCTGCCATTATGAGGCCAGGATTATTCTAATGACTGAAACAACCAGTGCCATCTTATTTGATTCCCGCAAATGTCTCTTGTTGCAAAAGATGCGCGGCTAATTGACACGTAATGTCTTTGGATTTATTTGCATGTGCCTTCTAAAGGAAGAAGGGAAAGAACAGAAAACACACACAGCAGCCTGAGTCACGAGATGAATGAGGATAAGTCTTAATCCTGAAAACCTGCTGGAAAACACCTGCTACCTGCAGCATAATTACATTTAAATCAGTTGTGAGGAAAGGCTCCACAGATCTACATGCTCACATAGAGGGTTTGGATCGAGCCGTCACAGTAAAGGGCCGGCTTGAAATGAGCTAAATCCAGTCGACCACTTTTCTGAAATGAACTCTGTGACCTCCTCGTGAACAGAACTGTTTTAAATTTGTCCTTGGATTTCAATAAAACACACCTCCAGTCCAAATAGGTGGAACACTGCTGTTTAAGTCCAAGCATCACTTTAATTGTCATGTAATCGAATTCTAATCAGGATCATTACACAGAAAATGTAATTAGGATAAAGTGAAGGTGAGAGATGAGAGTATATGAATACAGCGGTGCAGCTCGGCCAGGCCCTGCGTGGCACACAGGAATAAATCGGGTTTGGTTTACTGCAGGTGGCTCCACTCAACTACTGCTTCACACTCTGCTGCGCTCCTCGTACTCCGCTAATGCCCTATAATACCCTCTCCCTCTCCCTTTCCCTCTGCTTTGTGCACTCCTCGCTCTATCCATCTTTCCTCTCCTTCTCCACGTCTCTGGTCACTCGCTCTCTTTTTATTGCTCCATTGTTTCGGCGCGTAAAGCATCACAAATAGCCGCTATGTTAGCGTTTCCTCCCTCGGTGTCAGTAAATCACTCCACACATCAGACAGCGCAGGAGGAACAAACATCGACTGAAATGGGTCTAAAAAAACAATCAGAAAATTACAAGAAGTGACAGGAAGCACAGAGGAACATGAAGAAACTGATTTCAGTCACTGTTTGCTTGTACAGCCGACTGCAGCACACTTTGCTTGTCAGGCTGAGAATCAGTCGCTCCTCTTTCTAAATGTGTGACTGTTGTGAACACACAGCTGCACCACAGCCGTCTTCATATACGCAGACTAATTATCCACAAAATACAAAATGACATTGTGAGCAATGAATGCAACTAAACTCATTTTCATAGACTCTGGAGCCTGAAGCCGGATCCTCTCTACTGTGAACGGATGCTGTTCCTGATGCAGCGGGCTAAACGGGTATAACCCCATTATGTGGACAAATGACATGATGATTTGTTTTATTGACGGCCAGCTGACACCTACAAAGCACTGTGACCCCCACCAATGTACTATTTAATTATTACAAGCCGGCCCCATGTGGGGTGAAGCTGGAGGCTCACACATTCATTTGGGAGCTCTGTCCCACTCACGGTACCCGCTGGAGTGGCAAAGCCTCAGCAAGTGAAGCTTATACTGTGTGCCACGCTGGACCTTAAAACTACTGATACATTTGCATGTATGCAGATGGAGTTGTTGACTTTTCTCCCCCATGTTCTCCCCCATGTTCTCCCCATGTTCTCCCCATGTTCTCCCCCATGTTCTCCCCATGTTCTCCCCATGTTCTCCCCATGTTCTCCCCCATGTTCTCCCCCATGTTCTCCCCATGTTCTCCCACTCTGTTCCACACTCTGAACATCACAGTAGGCTGGTTGGAGCCACAGAAAAAGAAAAACAAGCTCGTAATCCAGTCCTTAATGCATATCTGTGGGCAGTTCACTGCTCGTGCACTTCTCAGACTCTGTATGGTGGTGATCCTGTTTCATCATCCAACATATTTCAGCAGAGACACTACAGAGGCAGACAGCTGGTCTTGAGTGGCCAATTATGTCCGTTTATCTCCCTTCCAGGCACAGCTGTGATCAAACGGAATGAAGAAACAGGATCAAACAGCGAGGCGAAAAATCATTCTTCCGTTTCGTTCACTTGTTTCTTGCAGCTTCCCTCTGCCTGTCTCTGTTGCTTCCTCCCTCTGTACTTCCAGCCCTCCCGTCTCTCACCACATATACACTTCTTAGTCTCAATATGCTTTCCTTGCTCATCTCTCCGGAGACAACGGAGCAGAGGCATCTATAAAAGTTTAGTGCTGAGGAAGCGCCGTTCTGCACAGCCCACTGCTGAGGGTGTGTGTTCCAGCGGTGCTGGTGAACCAGCAGGGAGATCTGGAGGAGCTGGAGGGAGTCCCCAGAAAAACCAAGTTTCACCTGCAGTCAGCAGATATTCACAGAACATCAACACGTCCTCAAATAAAATAGGTCAAACTACGCTGCTTGGCGGATAGTTTCTCACATCAGAAGTGAATGAGATGTAAAGAATGCAGCCTCTGTTCTCTCTGTACACTGTGCTTCTCAAAAACAACATTTGGCAGACTGGCCTCTCAATCCAAGTCATGAGATCTGCGAAAGCTTCCTGAATAAGCCCTAAATCAATAAAACCTAGAATGCAACCAACCTCATTCCCCTCTTTGGCAAACCTAAATGTACACAAAAGCAGAAAGAGGAGGTGGAGGAGAGGCTGAAAAGGCCTCCGTCAGCTCCTCAGGTCTGGACAGCGATCAGAAGCCGTGAGGAGCAGTCAGAGGGACTGTGGTGGAAATCATGGTCTGTGTGGAAGCAGACAAAGGAAAAGACTTCACCCCTGCTCCTGGATCAGACTCTAGAAACTGCCTTTTAAAGCCACTTTACTTTTTTTTTTTTAAAGAAAATTAAAACTGCTGATGTGGTTTTCATAGGTGGAGACTTCAGCTCCTCTAACACCTGTAGATACCTGTGCATCAGCAGAACTGTAGCTATGAATTCTGTGGGTTTGTCTCAGACCAAACGGCTCCTCTGTGCAGCGAGCTCATACAGGGACCAGAGAGGACCCCCTTCGTGCGTAAAGACCGTCTGGATACTCAGCGACGCGTCGTGCCGTGATGTTGGTTCGCCACATTTACTACAGCCCAAAGGGAGCTCGGTCCGTTTCTCGCATCAGTCTGCGCACGGTACCGTAACAGTGAACTTCAGATGATGTGGTTTCGTCAGTGAGTATCGCGTCGCGCACACGGACTCGTGGAGCGGTCGGACCTCCACAGCTCGAGTCGTTGGAGCGGAGTCGGAGCTCCGTGCAGCGCGGAGCTGAGCAGCGGGCCGGCCGGACCCACCGCCACCTCTCCGCACAGCCCTGGAAGTTACGCTAAAACGGGGTCCAGGCAGAGGACGGAGCTCTGAAACGGGTCGAGCGGCCAGTTTTCAGGAAGAGCTGCTTGGAGGAGCGTTCAGAGCGCAGAGACCCAGCGACGAGCTCCCCCCGAGAACCATCACTGATTAAGCTGCACATGGTTCCGATGGGTTTCGAGGCAACAAAATCAGTACTGATATGAAGCCAACATCCCAACAGAGAGGACGGAGCGGACCAGCCGCGGACCGGACCAGCCGCGGACCGTAACAACGAACACAGAGGTGCTGGCGGTGATCTGTAGAACCGCCTTGTACGAGAGAAATACTGATTTAGGGTTGTTTCCTCACTTTTAACAAAGAACAGGAAAGCCCCGGTCCGCCTGTGTGGACCGAGCCGGCTTGGTGGGCTCTGGGGAGATAGAGGACCACCGCGCGCCCCGGAGCAGAGATGTGCCTCCGAGCTGTGATCAAACTAAACTCATCAGTCTGCTCTGTGCGGTTCCTGAGCCTCCGGAGCGGCACCGTGTGAGATGAATGACCGCTTCTCAGACACGGTTTTATTGGACTCATGACTAGAACCACAGACTTTCCTCACAGGAACGTCTCCGCCGCGTTTTACCAGCTGTGTGTGATCTGGTGGGTTCGGGTTCGGGTTTCTGTTCTTTTAACTGAACACCTGATGTGACGCTTGGATTGAAGCAAAAGTGTCAAACTTACCTCCTTCCTCTGCTGCCACCGCTGAAGGCGAAAGAAAAGCCAGAATACATCCACAGAGCCATACGTATAAATCCATGGTCTGTCTCCTCCGGTCTGCTTTTATTCGTTTTGTCTGAGACAAGCAGTCCCAAAGTCCCCTTTACTGTCCTTGGCACTGTTCCGTATGTCTCTGAAGCAGCACCGCGGCTCACAGCCCAGCCGCGCTCCAACAGAACCGCGCAGGTCGGAACGCTCGGTTCGCGTGAACTGTGTCAGTGGGTGACACTGCTTCTCCTCTTGTGGAAACCAGTCAGCATAATCAATGCAGCCTGATATGAAATCAGCGCAATTTGTTCACTAAACACAGCTCTGAAGCCGTGAGAGCCGCGGCGCTGCGCAGGCGCTCCAAACGCGCGTCTTCATATCAGCCAGCGGACAGACAAATAAATGGGAAATTAACTAGAAATCGCTGATTGAAGTCTCAAAGAACAACAAGAAACATCAGCAGACAACCATGAAGTTTGTCAGAAAACGAGAAAAAAGTCACGTGATTTCCTCCTCGGATCGATGAAGTCTCCCCGAACCTTCCCTCTGCTCTCAGTACCAGCTACCAGAACAGCACCAAATGTTTTCCCATCGATTGTCCTCCTCATGCGCTGTCCCAACAACAGTCCGATAACACAAGATCTCCTGGAGGAGAGGCAGCTACGATTCTCGTGCGTAAAGCCGGTGTGGAGGAAGTGGCCGTGGTGCCGGTCCACTCTCCTCCGACCGAAATGCGCGTTTCGTCCCTGAAACTCGCTCCCGTGTGTGCGCTCGCTCTGTCTCTGTCTGCCGGCTGCGCGCTCCTTCCTTCCCCTCCGATCTCCGCCGGGTTTGTGGCAGCGAGCAGCGCCGCTCACTCAGTCCCCTGTCTCGGTGTGCGCGCACACCGCGCGTGCGCGTGTATCGGATTACAGTAGGCACCTCGGCCCGCCTCCATACAGCCCCTCACTGATTAAAGAGCAGTTTCAGCTCCCTCTCACTCCTTTTCCTCTCTTTCCTGCATGACCATCTCCCCTCCTGCAGCTCACACACTCCCCCTTTGCTTCAATTCAACAGATTGGTTTCAGCCTTTTCTTTGTTTTCCTCCAATTCCATCAAAACACTTTCTTCTCTCTTCTTCCCTCCGCTGTTAAAGAGAATGGTTGGAAGCAGAGAGGCAGAAAACAGAGGGAGAGAAGAGGCCCACAGCTCGGCTTTATGAGCTCTGTGGTCCGGCCTGGGAGCTTTAAATGAACCTGGTGCTGGTTTATAGCATTACAGGGAAAAAGTGACCCGGCACCACCGCGCACATGCACACCGACCAGAACACAGCAGAGTGTGAGTGGTAGCTTAGCACTGGGCATCAGAGAGACTTGATCAATACGGCTGCTATGAAGATTAACAAGTGAGTTTTGTTTTCTGCTAAAGACACAGATTCCCTCCTCGTCATGCAGAGCAGCCACTGTGATGGTAATAGCTGAGCTGCTGAGCGCACACACACACACACACACACACACACACACACCTGTATGCAGAGCCAGGGCAAAAAGCTGTTTAGGGCACATGGGTCAGCGGTGAACAGCATCTAAACACGGAGAAGAGGACCGACAGCGATGTGATGCAGACACACACACAGGAACACACACA